CCGTGCTTGTCCAACCTCAAGAAGGCACAGATCGCGTGATTGCTTATGCCAGCCGTACCCTGTCTCGCACCGAGATGAACTATTCCACCTCGGAGAAAGAGTGCCTAGCAGTATATAGTGTGGGCCACAATGAAATTCAGGCCTTACCTCTACGGTCGTCACTTCAAAGTAGTGAATGATCATTACTCATTGTGCTGATTGACCAATTTACGAGATCTGCCTGGGCGCCTAGCACGATGGATTCTTTGTTTGCAAGAATTTGACCTTACCATTGTCTATAAATCAGGCACCAAGCACGAAGATGCTGATTCATCGTCCCGTGCACCTACTGGAGTTTGTGATCCCGATAATGACAATGACAGCGGCTCCCTCGGAGTCCTCACTGCAACAGACTTGATCGCACGATAACACGATGACATCGAGATTCGCGCAATGATTGACCAACTAGAAGGACGCAACACACCCGTACCTCGACACATTTCTCGAAATATCTCTTTGTTCTGCCTACGGAACAGGGTCTTGTATGAAACAAGCTCAAACAGCAACGGGATAGCTTACCTGCTGGTCCCTTCTGACATTTGAGACGACATTCTTCTGGCCTACTACGACGAGCCCACATCCGGTCATCTAGGTTCTTCAAAAACTCTCGCCAGAGTTCAACAGGCCTACTACTGGCCAAAACTTGCTATGTACGTCAAGCGATATGTGAAAAGATGCCGTGAGTATCCACGCCGTAAATCTCCGCCACTGAACCCTCCAGGCCTGCTGCAACCAATCACACCACGAAGGGCACCATTCAATCAAATAGGAATGAATTTACTGGGGCCATTTCCTCTGTCATCCGCCGGTAGCAAGGGGATAGTTGTAGCGACTGATTATCTAACGAGACACGCCGAGACAAGAGCCCTGCAACGAGCTATAGCTTCCGATGTTGCCCAGTTTTTCGCCGACCACATCGTTCTTCGCCATGGCGCCCCGTCTTCCGTGATCACTGATCGCGGAACAGCTTTCACGGCTCAGCTTATTGACGATGTATTCAAACTAAGCTACACGAGCCATCGCGAGACGACGGCGTATCATACGCAGACTAACGGCCTGACGAAACGACTTAACAAGACCATCGCCGATTTGTCATCAATGTATGTGGAGGTTCAGCACAAGACGTGGGATGAGGTGCTCCTATACATAACATTCGCGTGCAAGACTGCCATCCATGAAACGACACGATTCACACCTTTCCGTCTCGTCTATGGGCGTGAGGTTCAGACCATGCTAGACGCTATGTTGCCACACGATTACGAGGGTTCGCTCACACCTGACGCTGAGCTGCAGCTTGCTCAGTATGTCGAAGAAGCTCGACAGTTGGCACGCCTGCATATCACGCAACAACAAACTGCAGATGCACGCCGCTACAATCTTCGCCACCGACAGATCGAGTACTACCCCGGAGATCCAGTTTGGGTATGATCTCCGGTTCACCACCAAGAGTTGTCCGAAAAGCTCCTGAGTTGCTGCTTTGGACCCTACAAAGTAGTTCGTCGCATGAGTGACGTGAACTATGAGGTGGTCCCAGATGAAACCATGTCATTCCAGCGTCGAAAGCACTACCCAGAGAATGTTCACATGTTCGCTACCCAGAGAATGTTCACGCCCACATGCTGACGCCGACACCCTCTCGCGCTTCCCTATGCCTGAAGACGACGTGCCCTGCTCAGTATCCTCGATTGCTGTTTGTGGCATCAATGTTGACATCATCGCTATCGATGAGCGAAAGGATAATCGGATTGCCCCGCTGACCGAGTTGCTCTCTGGTCCGTCCGCAACACCATGCAGGCATGCCTTGCGTCGTCGAGCTCACCATTTCGCCATCTGTGACGGCCTCCTACACAGACGCAATTACGACGCCGATGACCGGCAGTGGTTACTTGTGATACCCCGCAGTCTGCGGTCGGAGATATGTGAATCTTTCCATTCTTATCCGCAATGCGCGCACTCTGGGGTATCCAAAACCTAGCACCGCATTCAAGAACGCAACTTCTAGCACGGGATGTACCGCTAAGTGCAGCAGTTCGTCCACTCGTGCCTCACTTGCCAACGCCGCAAGCCGTCCGCTCACATGTATCCAGCCAGTCTGTTACTGTTACCTTGCCCTGACCGTCCGTATGGGTGCATAGGTATCGAACTATGGACCGCTTCCTCCGACGACGGCTGGTAACCACTGGGTCATCGTCGCCGTAGACCAAATAACGCGATACGCCGAAACTGCCACTCTCCCTGCGGCTACTGCGCGTGATGTTGCGTCCTTCCTACTGCATCGATTCATACTGCGCCACGGTCCACCCCAGGAGCTTCTCAGCGATCGAGGCCGTGTCTTCTTGTCGGAAGTCATCGAATCCATTCTCACGGACTGTCATTCTGTCCACCACAAAACTACAGCTTACGACCCACCGACGAATGGCCTCACCGAACACTTTAACCGAACCCTCAGTGACATGCTTTCGATGTACGTCGCCGCCAACCACACGAATTGGGATAATATACTGCCCTGCGTCACCTACGCCTACAACACTGCCC